ATGGAGGACCTGCAGGGCTGCCCCAGGAGCGGTCCGCGGAGGGGAACCGCTCGCCCCAGCTGGTGGCACCTCAGGGTCCTCCTCGGACCTCGGCGCCTGTGGGAGGCCGCAGGGCCGTGCCCCCAGCCCGGCCGGTTCTCTCAGCGGCCTGCGTTTGTCGTTCCTGCAGGGCTGTCAGGTCAGCAGCAGCTCGGCGGGAAAAAAAAATGAGTCGGAGGCAGCCTCCATGCTGAAAGTTACCGTCATAAACAGTTTCCAGTATCGATTAATGCCTGGTCCCCAGTCCCCTATGAATTCATCGCTGCTGCGTTCTGCTTCGTGCCAGGTAAAAAATGAAAGTACGCCTAACAATCAGAGCACTGTATTTTTAACATGAAATTACTCGTTGTACTGCTAATGGTTTCGTTTAAGGACCACAGGTGGTACCACTAGCATGAGGAGCTTTTTGGAATGCTCTTTGTTTACAATATTAAAATACCTTAAATTAAAATTTCAAATTGATTATGAGAGAATTTGTCACTTCCTCTTCATGTTCAAATGTGTTCCGTGTGTTACCTTTTATAGAAACTTAGTCCAAGCTTTGAGAACAGCACCATTCAGGAACAGAGGCAAGAACTCCAGCTTTTAATTGCAGAACTGAAAGATCGTGATAAGGAACTCGGTGACATGGTTGCAGTGCATCAGAGACACCTTCTAGCCTGGGAAGATGATCAGCGAAAAATACTGACTTTAGCAGAAAGTTGCAACTTACTAAACAGTAAGTATTGTGTGTATAAAGAATAAGACCCTGGTCTTTTCAGTATGTTCAGGTGCTTAGGCACCGCCATAACAATTTTGCGTCATATAAGGAGCCATTTCCTACCCTTCAGCCTTGAAGTTGGTTGTCTTCTTTCTGAGATCAAAACTTCCACGATGGTGCTGAAGTGATCTGTCTTGAAGGGTGTATGATAATTAGATGGCTCTTTCTCTTTTGAATATGTAAGTTGCTTGTGTGGATTCTTTAAAGAAAAAAATCTGATGAAATAAAGGTGGGGGAAGAAAACAATTTGCAAACATGCTGGTGTGCTGCAGAGCTGTGTACTGCAGAGCCCTGTGCCCTGAAGTTCTGCTGTACAGCTCTGACATCATCCGCAAGCCACTCAGTGAATCAGCTGGCAGCTCTGAACAGTCTTGTTTGACAGCCATGGCACAGAGGTCACCAGAGTTTGTATTCCATCTGACCTGGGTCGCTAGGGAATCCTGCTTCAGAGTATGCAATGTGAGCATCTACTTTTGAACCTCATGATTTTAAAACGCTGGATTAAATTATTTCTGAGATCTAAAAAATTGCATGACAGTATCTGAGCTGTTTTCTCACAGATACTTTGTCTCCCTTCTTTTCAGATGAGCTGAACAAGAGAAACGAGATTATAAAGTCGCTGACCAAAAGGTTAAAGTTGTTAGAATCCCAGCAGGATGACACTAAGACAACATTTGAAAATACACAACAGAAGTTTAAAGAGCTGTCTCAAAAAGTAACAGATGCAACTGTTCATTGTCAGGCTCTGGAGGTAGGAGTTGAGTAATGGTCTGATTTTGCAGTCCATGCATGTACAGAATGTCAGTAGCATTTGTGAGTTTCAGTAGTGAATAAATATTTCATATTAAGACTCCTGAGTTGTATTTGTCTTTTAGTACAGTAATGTTAGATTAAGGTATAGCTGTGATTCATTAAAAAAAAAGGAGGTGGGGGGGGGGGGGGGGGCAAA